TAGCATGAGATAGATTTTGCTCGTATTGAAAATTGCGATTAAGTAATTATTACTAATAGTTATATGGCATCATGATGTCATTATTAATAATTGCAGGTATTAATAATTGCGATTTTTAACCCAAACGCAAAATTCACAATTAATAGTACCCGTATTTAAAAGTAACTTCAAGGTACATTCAGTTTTTGTTTTTCACAAAGAAAGTTTCTTAATGAGTCTAAGGAGATATTACATTGGCAACAAGGTAGAGAAATGATCCTATGATGGCTGCTGTTAGCAAGATCGAGTCGTTCGATCCCTGTCAAGAGACTTTTCCTTGCTACGTGAAGTGAGTTCATAACTTCTTTGCTGCAAACGATGTAGCAGCTGGAAAACAGAAGTTTGTGTTCCTTAACTCTCTGGATAGGAAACACTACAACCTATTGTCGAATCTGGTAACTCCTGAGTCACCAAAGGACAAAACCTTAGACGAACTAGTCGAGGTACTAACTACTCACTTTCAACTGCCTACTTCAGTTATTGCAGAGTGGCACTTAAGTATAGCAGATTTTGTCGTGGGGCTCAAGAATAATTGCTTTCCAAAAAAAAATTTTCTACCACAAAACTAACTGCCCGATGGGCTTTGTTCAGTGTCTGTCTTTCATTCTGTCTCTTATCCCAAACCTCACTTTTAGCTTTACAACTATAGTTTCCTTTAAAATACATAACTCATGCATACATTTTTGGTTCTTTGATTGTGAGGTATAGTCTCTTAAGCTCAATGAGAACCAATGTTCTTTAATGGCTTGAATGACTATTATAGTAAAAATCACAAGCAGCTTCATTTTTGTGACTTTTTAATACTATACTGGTCAAAGTAAAAAAAATGGGCTCTGGCATGGTTTTATTTGTGACATGTAAATTAAATATTTTAAGTGTCCGCTGCTACTACTTAAAGTACAAAACTCTTGTTCATTTTGTATTCTATGTCTTGATAAGTACATATTTATAACAATTTCAGCCAATCAAAAAGGGCATATTTGAGGCATGCATGGATACTACTTATAATTCATTTCTTCACCTTATCATTATTTATTTCTTATTCACTTAGGTCACTGAGTTATGTGAAAGAGAGTATCCCATTAGTATAACTGTTAATATACTGAATATTAATAATAAGGTACAAGACAGTACCAGTATACCAACACAAGTTAATGATCAACTGATGATTACTGGAGTAATAACTGTACCTAATAATTTAAATACATTTATTGTTAATGTATCATTCAGTAACCTTGGAGGAGTATATCTATCTACACCTTCTTTTGGATTTGGTAATAATTAACTATTACATTGTATATTCTTTGATTTAATCCTTTCTTTCATTTTTTAGGTTTTCTTGGTCCAGTTACTAACATTGACTCTTCAATTGACAACTGTTCTACTATTGATATAACATGGACTGCTCCTACAGTTGATCCTAGAGTATCTATACTGTATTATAATCTCAGTATATATGATAATGTTACTGGTCAGTTCTTGAGGAGTGTATCAGTATATGATACCAGTTACCAGTTTCCAGATGAGGAATTATTCCGGCATCGTTATACATATGTTATAACTGGAGTTAATGAATTAGGAGAAGGAATATCTAATAATGGTACATTCTCATATCAAAGAGGTACAATAAATAATAATTACTGAATAAATGATTTTATGTTTATTTAGTACCAAGATCAGTTGAAGAAGGTGCTTCAGATATACTCATGATAACATTTAATGAGACCAGTGCTGCTGTTTATTATAATATAACAGTAATAATCTTTTAATAATTATTTATTATTATCAAAATGTTATTATAGATTACATTGGAGTGTACTGGTGAATCTCCTAAGAATGTTACAGTTACTATAGAGTGTAATGGAACTGGTGTTTTATATAATGATGCTACACTAGTGGAATATGCTAAACGACCAATGGATATAACAGGATCAGTACCAGTACCATTATATCAACAGTGTAATATCAGTATTGTATTTAGTAATGAGGCTGGTAGTAGTGAACCATTTATACTAGCATTTGGTAAGTATGTAGTGTTATTTTCATCATTATTTGTTATCATTATCTAGACACTACTCCTATAATCAATACACCATCACCTACCGGTACTTCATCTCCTGATTTAATATTTGCACTAGGTTTACCATTACATAAACTGCACGAACTTATTCATTCATTGTATAGTAATTATTGGAGCTACTGTTGGTGGTATTGCTGTACTACTGATAATAATATTAGTGATGATTATATGCTATAGGAGAAAAGGTTAGTATCTCTTCTTTTATTAATATTATTATTAGTTTAATAGGAAGGGCTGGAGCTACTGGAGGAGATAGTACTACTCCACCACCTGAGAAAGCTGATACTACTGGAAAAGGTAGTGCCTGTGATGAAACTGATGAAAAGGAAACGAAGGAAGATACTTATGAAAAGAAAATGAAGGAAGATACTTATGAAAAGAAAATGAAGGAAGAAAGTGTCTTGTAATTAATTTTTTGACAGTCCTCGTCCAGACTATTTACTAATCTGTCATTCTAAAATATTCTTATGTTTTATAGGTAGTAGCTAGTTTAATGATTTTTGTATAAAATCCATGAGTTCAACAGAATCAATCAGCTATAAATCTAGATGCTAAAAGTGTATTTTGTAATGTCTTTTGAGGTTTACAATGCTTGCTTGATGCACTAAACTATGCAATATGTTCCTCTCACCAATCTTTAACAGGAACTTGGTATTGAAACCTTAACAAACTATTTGAATACTATACTGTAAGATCTCAAATTTTTCAAAAAGGAACTTGGTGTAGATGATGATAATCTTACCTTATGCAACCAATTAAGAGTTGTGTATAACTTAATATTATGTATATATAGTATACGTCTGTTATATATAACACAACGATATGAGAGTCTAGTCTCGCTAGCCAGACCATTCCCCAGCCTACAGTCATTGGGGTGGACAGCGGGGAAGGGTCTGGTACACTGCTTAATATAGTCCTGTTCTTACGTCCAGAAATGGACGTGACCAATCAGATTCAGTTATCCATGACATGTGACCACAGGTCACATTGAATTTTAACTAGGTGAATGTAAACATTGTGGGGGCGAGCATGAGCCATCAATTAACAACTGAAATAATTATGATTGAACTAAATAAAATCAATCCAGCTCTCAGCCTGCATGCATATTCAGACCCCGGCCTCATGGCCGGGGTCTGAACAGAGCAAACACACCAGTCAACACAACCAAATAACCCAGTAAAAGTGACAAGAACGAGTCCTGCCACACTGAGAAAATGTACCAAGTTAAACTTCTAATCTAGCTTCCATCAATTACCATTTGAAATAAGATTGAACTAAATAAAATCAATCCAGCTCTTAGCGTGCATGCATATTCAGAATTTCAGACCCCATCCTCATGGCCCGGCAGGGTCTGAACAGAGCAAACACACCATTTAACACAACTGACCAAAATGACCCAGTAAAAGAGACAAGAATGAACTGTCCTGCCACTCTAAGAAATGCCAGTGCCAAGCTAAACCGGCTTCTAATCAAGCTGTTCTCCCAATTTTAATTCTTTCAATGAGAGGACTAATCTAAAGGAGTCTTAGATCAAGCTGCTTTTAAGTTCTTCAGCCTTTCAGATGTTTTAGATAGCCCCTCTCTCTTATCTAGCTGTTAGAAACTCAATCTGAGTTTGTTACGTTAAAATTTCCGCCATCATAGATATTAGAGTACACTAGTACTCTAGCATGTTTTCAAAAAAGGGATTATAATGACAAAAAATACATTTTATGGTTTTAAAAGTGCTATAACATTAACATGGTAAAATTATCTGTACAATAGAAAACAGAATTATAAAGAGGAAACATTAGGCTTCTTGATGTATTAATTTCACTTGCATAGGAACACTTGTTTGCGAGATATTGCTCCTAAAAGAAAGAAAATCAAGGGTAAATTGTGACAAAAAATTTCAACGAGCCTCTGTCAGCCTAGCAGCAATACAAATGAATGGAGGTTGGGCTACGCCCACGCTTCCGTTTCCAATCCCTTTCATTTACTCTATTATCTATGCCGCCATCTTGTTCTTTTTGACCACACCCTTTAAATTAATTTTGCCCACGTGGTCCAAATTTATCAAAAGTAGTATACCAATTTAATTTTCGTATTTTTCCGTTCACAAACAAGACGTAACGCAAATAGACCTAGACAGATTAGTGTGGGTCTCGCTCATGCTCGCCCCAATTATCAAAATGGCGACTTTTCAAGAGTTGTGGAGAGAATGCTGAAAAACAAGCTATAGAGTGGTAGCATCCAGCGTCTTATTGATTCTGAAGAGGCATCTTAGTGAAAGGTATCCGGGTAATATGCTACAAGTTTGTCTGGATGCCATGAAACATGCATATCGGTTCAATTTTATTGTTGTTTCATATAAACAGTATTTTTGTTGTTGAATTGCACTTTTCCCTTCTTCCTTCTCTTTTTACTGTTCTTATTGTATTATATAATCATTATAAGACATTTTCAATGAATAAGATATGAATAAATAGAATTATATGACAAATTTGCAATACATTAACTGTATTTCCACACTCCTTGCTATGAATGTCACATCACTTGAAGCACTATGAAGCAATGAACAATCATTGACCTTTGAAAATCATAGCGAAGAGGCAGGACCAGACTACTCCAGCCCTTCCTATTAAGCTAATAATAATATTGATAAAAGAAGAGATACTGTTTTTACAGCATATAACCACCACCACTATCACTATTATTATTATCAGTAGTACAGCACCACCAACAGTAGCTCCAATAATTTCTATAAATACAATAAATGAATAAGTTATTGCAGTTTATATGTAATAATAAACCTGGTAATAGATCAGGAGGTGAAGTACCCGTAGGCGATGGTGTAGGAGTAGTGTCTAGATAAAAATAGCAAATAATAATGAAAATAATACTTTATACTTACTAAATGCTAGTATAAATGGTTCACTACTACCAGCCTCATTAATGAATACAATACTGATATTACAATGTTGATATAATGGCACTGGTACTGATCCTGTTATATCCATTGGTCGTTTAGCATATTCCACTAGATATGTGTTAGTAAATGCAACACCAATTTCATTACACTCTATAGTAACTGTAACATTCTCAGGAGATTCACCAGTGCAGTCCAATGTAATCTATAATAACATTTTGATAATAATAAATAATTAAACTCCAGTTATAACATATCTATAACAATGTCGAAATAAATCATCATCTTTAAACTGATAACTGGTATCATCTACTACTACTGCAGTATTTACTAGACTACCAGTAATAGCATCATATATTCTTAGTATGTAATACATTTATTGTTAATGTATCAATGAGTAATAATGGAGGAGAATTGTTACCTACACCTTCATTTGGATTTGGTAAGTAATATTTTGCTACTCAATTGTTCAGTTGTAAATTTTATACATTAGATTATCTTGGTCCAGTTACTAACATTGACTCTTCAATTGACAACTGTTCTACTATTGATATAACATGGACTACTCCTACAGAGTATCCATGCATGCCTCAAATATGCCCTTTTTGATTGGCTGAAATTGTTATAAATATGTACTTATCAAGACATAGAATACAAAATGAACAAGAGTTTGTACTTTAAGTAGTAGCAGCAGACACTTAAAATATTTAATTTACATGTCACAAATAAAACCATGCCAGAGCCCATTTTTTTACTTTGACCAGTATAGTATTAAAAAGTCACAAAAATGAAGCTGCTTGTGATTTTTACTATAATAGTCATTCAAGCCATTAAAGAACATTGGTTCTCATTGAGCTTAAGAGACTATACCTCACAATCAAAGAACCAAAAATGTATGCATGAGTTATGTAATTTAAAGGAAACTATAGTTGTAAAGCTAAAAGTGAGGTTTGGGATAAGAGACAGAATGAAAGACAGACACTGAACAAAGCCCATCGGGCAGTTAGTTTTGTGGTAGAAAATTTTGCATTTTGGATCATACACAAAACCCCCTATTGTATAAATTATACACAACTGACCCCCTTTTGTAACAACTCACTCTACCATATAACTCTTTATTTTGGCGGCACTTTATTCTGGCGATTTTGCTGTAAAATTGTAATTGGCGGTTTTTAATTTGGCGATTTTTGTGTACACGTGCATTACTGAGCATGCGCATTAATGATTGGCGGTTTTAATATTTGTGATTCTGCTTGCAAACCGCCACTCGGCAAAATAAAACTCCGCCAAATTAAAGCGTTATACAGTATGTTACATTCACTAGCTATGCACAACAGAATAAAACAAGCTTACATTAATACTGATATTTAATGATACTAGTTGTCCATCAATTACTGGT